GGTAGGTGCCTCTGCTGGGGGCTGGGGAGGGCTTGGGGAGCCCCGTGCCTCCTCCTCCCCAGGGGATCAGGCTGGTCCTGGGGCTCCCTCTTTGTGGCCCCTACCCTGGGCCATCCTTCCCGCCCTGCCGCCTCTCCGTGCTCCCTCTAATGTTGGTCACCCCCCCACAGCCTGCTGGAGGAGAGCTATGTGCTGAAGGACCCCTTCACTGCCGACAGAGACAGGTTCCTGGTCCTGGGCTCCCGGTGCAGCGTGTGCAGCAGACTGGTGTGTGTAGCCCCGGTAAGTCAGTGGCCGAGGCCGGCCCAGTCCCGCGCTCAGCAGTGGGAGTGTCAGTCCTTCCTCATGGTCACCCCAGGAGCCCCTCCAGCCACCAAGTGGGGGTGTGGCCAGGCTTCTTAGGGGTCAGCTGGTCCCCCTTATAAATGAGGACTTGTCAGGAGCAGTTCTGGTGGCACTGTGATTAAAGCCCCTGGCTGATCGGAAACCAGCAGCTGCTCCGAAGGGGAGAGGTGAGGCCGGCCACCTGCACGTGCCACTGTCACGGTCGTGGGAGTCCCGTCCCTAGGTGGTGCTCTGTCCTGCGGGTGCCATTGTCATGGCCGTGGGAGCCCTGTTCCCAGGCAGTGCTTTCTGTTGTAGGGTGGCTGTGAGTTGGAATCAACTCAGTGGGCTGGGTTTTAGCCCCCCTCCCCCTCAGTCTTCCTGCCTCACCTCCTTCTTGCCCCACCCTTCCCCGAATACAGCCCCTCACCAGCTTCCTTTCTGGGCGAAGGGTCCTTTCCAGTCAGCAGGGAAGGGTCCTTTCCAGTCAGCAGGGAAGGGTCCTTTCCGGTCAGCAGGGAAGGGTCCTTTCCGGTCAGACCCTGCTCCGCGCTCCTGTTAACGTTTATCCTGGGAGCAGTGCACTCAGCCCCTGCCCTCTCCTTCTCCAGGAATGCAGTTTATTCTATTCCAAGAGGTTCTGCCTGCCTTGTGTCCGGGAGTACATGGACGCGTTCCCCAAGGAGATCCAGCAGGACGTGGAGAAGAGGCGCGCTCCAGCCAGGGCTCCGGCCAAGACGCCCCGTGCCAAGCTTGGTGCTAGGAACTGAGGACAGCTGAGTCGGGTGGCAGCCCCTGCACGTGGCCCCAGGCTGTGGCTGAGCAGAGGTGGGGTGCCCCTTCTGTCCCTGGGCTGTGCCTGCAGCAACAGAGCATATGCGAAGCGGACACCTTGCCAGCCCTGCTGGGCACTGGCATTGATGTGCCAGGTGTGCTTGGCCCCTGGGCTGAGCACGCGTGGGAAGCCTGGAATGACCTGCTGACCCCCACTCCCACCCCTGGGGCTGGCGTGGCGGCCTTGTGTGCACCCCCTCCCCAGCCAACTCACTTGGCAAGCACAGGGTTCTCGGGACCCCTTGTGTACTGTCTGGAGGACACAGCGGTGGAGAGCCTGAGAGTCCTTGAGTGGCCGTCATGAGGCCACTGTGCGGTGGGCATGAGAAGGGAAGGACCTAGTGGCCCTGCAGAGCCTCAGGCTGCGTGTTGTCCTCTGGCGCTCGCTGTGTTGGGATGCTGACCGGGCAGCCTCAGGATGAGGCCAGGAGGCTTCCTCCATGGGTAATGCCTGGAAAATGCTGGTAACCTCAAGTATGTGTGCTGTCATTAAACCACTGAAAATCCAATCAGTTTTCTGAAAAAACAGCTGGTGTCGTAATTCTTGTGGGTTTACCTGGTGGACCAACAACTTCATGGGCTGGAACAGCCGTTGTCTTCGATCACAAGAGGGCAGTCAGCTTACAGGGCCCAGGAAGTGTTGGAGACGGGGTCATCGAGTGGGCAGTAGAGCTCCGATCAAGGGAAAGGGGGGCTCGGGCTCGTTTCACGTGCCCACACTTTCAAGTTTCCTGCTTTCTTAAACTTGGGGGTCACCTGGGGCCACACTACTATGTCCTGACACTGCCACTGATCTGATTCCAGCTCAGCGACCCTGCAGGGTGCAGAGCAGGAAATCAAAGGGGTGTACTGCATAACCTGTTTGGTACGGGTACACCAAAGGCTGGCAGTTCGAATCCACAGCTTTTCTGAGGAGGAAAGATGAGTTGTCTCTTCCCACTAAGATTTGCAGCCTCAGCAGCTTGACGGAGGGTCGCGCGAGTCGGGATCTCCCCGAGCTCGTGGGTCTGCGTGTTGTGGGGTAGAACTGCCCGGGGTCTCCACGGCCGTGCATCTGGGCCGAGGCAATCTGTTCGTCTTCCTCCTGCCGAGCGGCTGGTGGGTTTAAAGGGCCAACCTGGTTAGCAGCCAGATCCTTTAACCACCTGTCTAAAGGGGGAAGGGTGTCCAGGCGAGGCTGTAGGGTGGGCTCTCGGGCACGGTGGGCACCGGACACTTCATCTCAGATTAGCACTCAGCAGTCACCGAGGAGTTTTTAAAAACAGTTTATTTTTTTAAACCATTAAGGCAAAACTGTACCCTGAAATTAACTCTTCACATTCATCAGTCTTACAAATAGGACATTCCAGAAGTTCTCATCAACTCAGGTCAGTACTGCAGATCAGCTGGGAGGACCAGTGAGACCCGGGATTGAGAGGAAAAGTGAGGGTGCCCCAGAGTCACTGCCTCAGACCACCAGGTCAGCCAGCGAGACCACCCGGTCAGCTAGCGTGACCACATGGTCAGCTAAGCGACCCCTTGGTCAGCTATTGTGATCACCCAGTCAGCCAATGAACCACCGAGTCAGCCAGCATGACCCCGGTCAGCTATCGAGATAACGACAGTCACACTGCCCTTTTGCACATCTGCTTCCTGAGGGCCTGGGCAACCACCTGGACCGAGATTCTGAATTGAGAATGGATGCCAAGGCCTGGACAGCAGTGTCCACTTGGGCCTGGCCCCTTCCTCCAGCAGGCCCAGGGGCATGCAGATCATGATGGATGGCAGTGTGGGTTCCCAAGGTGTCCGGATGGACGCCGAGAGGACATGGCCACACACCAAGGGCCTCGCATGCCTGTGGTTTCTCCTGTGCTTCACAGACACGAGGGAACACTGGGGCCGAGTCCCATCAGATGGTGCCGGATGCCAAAGTTCTTTGGTAATAACCCACGGGCAGTGATTACCAAAATAAAGAACAGACGGCGCTTGATTACTACAAGCAGCTGGACAGCCTGTAGCGAAACTGTGTTGTCCTAAACCTGGACCCTCTCTCCCACCTGGCACCAGAGCAGCCTTGCTGGTGAGAATGAAGGTAGATAGCAATCGCTGGCACTTTATGAAATGTGGCAAAGGGGACAGACTGACACGGCACCAGTCCTGCAGCTTGGGAGAAACCAAACACCGCTGTGCATGTTTGTGTACAGGTGTGTGAGAGTGTCTGTGCTTGTTACAGACCCAAGGCTTTTAAGAACATACCGGCAGTTACCACTGATCTCAGATCTGAATGATCTGCTATTACGTGCCTGACTGAAAAGCAGTAAACATTCGGATGTTTAAAAACCTCAAATCACAGTGGTTAAGCTACAGCTTTGAACACTGTACTTTGAAAACCAGTGGAAAAGAAAAATCAGCCCTAGAAAATGCAGATAAACCAGGAAGAGTAGGAAGTGGTGTGTATATTTTTGAGGTACTCTTTTTTAAAAAAAAAGTAGGGGGGAAACAGATTGTCTGGAAAAGAAGGCATTTTCAAAGTGGATGGTTTGCCTTTGGAAAGGCTCCCTGGTTTAGGAGTCTGAAGCCCAGTTCTCAGTTTTGAGGGGCTAGGTTGAGGTTTTCGGGCTCCCGAGAGATGCCCAGGAGTGACCTGTGGGCCAGGAGATTGGGGGCCCTGCACCCATGTTCTCTCATTTTCTGGAGATGCAGAGTCATGGTGTGGGGTCAGTGTGGGCTCACACTCGAGGCTGACTCGTTTGGTCCCGTGTCTGTCAACTGTGCTAACAAACCATAAATGCTGGCTAGGGGTGGGGGGTGGGGTGCAGGAGGGACCGGTGGTCATTCCACGCTAGAGAGCTGACCCAGGCTTCCACTAGCTTCTGTGATGTAAAAAGACATGTTCTCATTATTTTATACATAATAAACTTGACAGCTGTTGGGCCGCCAGGGTTCCCCGAGTTACCAAATGCTTTCACCAAGGCCTGACATTGGCCGTGACGTGGTTTGGGGCCCTTCTGTCTGGTCAAGGCGGTGGACAACGGTGTGGGGACAGGACCGTGTTAATCAACCCCTCTTCCCTCATGAAGGCGGCTGGGTCTGGGGGTGGAAAGGATCAGGTTTCTCCTGCCACATACTGCAGTTCTGGAAGCAGATGGTCAGCTGACAGTCCACGTGCAGCCTGAGGTGGCCTCGGGGGCGCCTGGAGCTGGTGTGTGCTCGGAAGAAGCAGAGCCACCCGGGCAGCAGCCTGGATAGAGGGAAATTAGAACCTGCCGCCTGTCCTACGATGTCCAGCCTCGCATTTAGCTTGTGTGGTGGTTTCACGTCTTCTGGGTGAGACCCCAGGGGGATGATGACTATTTTCCTGAATTCTAAACGGGCACTGAGCCAGCCTCCCCGAAGGCCTTAGACCTGGACCTTCGGAGCCGGGGCTCTGGGCAGCCAGGTCCAGGGCCTGGGTGGAGTCCACAGGATCAGGGTTCTTTCACGGCCTGGATGGAAAGTGCATTGTCACACCCTCCCTCCGTCTCCCGAGCTCCAGGCAGCCAGGATGCTCCAGTGCCCTCTTGGGGAGGCATGGGAAGGTGTCCCTCACCACTGACTGCCTTGTCAGGATGTGGTGCCACCGTCAATGGAAACACAGATCTGATGCGAATCCGGAGCTCCTCTGCCGAGGGGGAGCCTGGCACAGAACTGGGCGGCTGTCTGTCAGGCCAGGCAGGCTAAAGAGCTCTTCAGCCAGGAGGTGGGGTCCATGACCATGGTCACTGAGTGGACACTGACTCCCAGGGCCCCTGGAGGAACAGGGTGCATCCACTGCTGCCTTGTTGCTGTTGTCCACTGTTGAGTTGGAGCTGACCCTCCAGCGGCTTTTCAGAGGCAGTTTAATCGCACAGGAGGAGACTGGCCATCTTTCTCCTGAAGCAGCAGCTGAATTTGAACTGCGTGCCTTCGGGACTGCAGTGCAGCTTCTTCCCACTAGGCCGCCTGAGCTCCCTATTAATGACAACTGCCTTCCAGGGTCTATGTACTTTCCAAGGGTGGTGCTGGTGCAGTGAGTGCACTATCAGCCTTTGCTTGATTCCAGCAGCCTGGACATCCCTGGGTGACTCAGACGTTCGATAAATCACTGCTGAGTGACAATGACGGAATACGCTGGTAAAAATAACCAGAGGCATGTGACTGCACTACAGAGCTGACAGCACCGGATGACTTTGACATGAAGGCCACTCAGGTCTCCTTGGTGGCTCCTTACGTACATCAGTGGTCACAGCTGGGGCACCAAAGCTTGCAAACACCACTGGCCACGGTTCATGTGGACAAACGCAGGGCCTGCAGTGAGGCTCGATGGTAGTTTCTGGAAGCCAGAGTTAGGTGCTATGTTATATAGGTTTATGACTATGTAGGTTTTATGTCATTCAAAGAATGCATGACTTCTCTGGAAGACTGCCCTATAGCTATATGTCCACTTGGGTGATGTCCGTCCAGGGCCCAGGAGAGCAAGAGGGTTGTGTGGACAGACAGTGGAGGGAACTTGGAGTTCAAGTCCAGGCTCTGACCTTGACATCTTGGGCTCAATGCCTCTTCAAGTTTCCACAGGAAACAAACCTGGACTGGCTGCTGCGGTGGCTCACGGCCAGCTCTTGTCAAGCGGGAAGGCGCGCTCTTCTCCAACTATCTTAGTTATTCTTTTATTTGCTCCTGATTCCTACTACCTGTGGTGCAAACTGCAGAACTTCTGACCAAATCTGAGCCACCAGCCAAGCCCCGACACGTGTCTGCGTACAGGGCTGTCCTTGTTTCTGGCTGCAGCCTCCCGGTTTTGCTAATCTCTCATCCCATGTTCCAAATGCTGATCTTGGGGATTTTAGCATTAGTATCGCCATCTTTCTTCACCAGCAGCTAACCAGGACCTTGTCAGAGCCACATGTTCTGAAGACAGCAGGGCACAGGGCCAGGGGCACAGTGCCCAGGGCAGGGGATGAGTCAGTGGGGTGCCCAGTGGCTGCGAGGAGTCAGGTCACAGTCTCGGTCTGGCCTTGAGGTATTGCGGTTGAGAACTGTTGGGAGGTGTGACACAGGACGGTGGTGGGCGGGCCCAGCCTTCCTGGACCGGCCACCACCCCAGCTCACTCCTGCCTGGACTGAGGTTGAGAAGTTGATCTTTAAGGCTCAAAGAAACAGATGTGGGGACAGTGGCTGGTGTATAATCTGAAAGGAGCACTCAGGTGGCTGTCAAACTGGACACCAAACACACCCACCATCTGAAAGGCACCATCTCTCTTCTCTGTGCCGCAGACCAATTCCCTGCCTCCACCAACCCCGGAGCAGCTCCCACCAGGGACAGTCAACGATGATAAAGCTTCAGATTGTAAAAGCAATGCAGGGAAAGACGAGAGAAGCTGCCTTGACAGATTTAAAAAGAATCTGTCGGTTGATTCCCCCAAAGACTCTGGCGCCCACAAGCGGCTGAGTTGATTGGTCTGGACTTGGCAGGAAACAGCGAGGAGAAGTGTGGAGGGCACACGCTTCGAACACTGTTCCTGTTTTTCCTGTCACCAACGCTGGCTTCATCTGTCAAGTCCAAGGGTGTTCTTGTGCCAGTCCTGGGAGCTTCCAGACAGATCCTGTAAATGGGCTTTTCCACAGCAGTTACCACCATGAACACAAACAAACAAAGCCGGGGTCATGGAACAGATGGTGAATGACAGTGACCCTCCAGGACCGACCCCAACTGTCCCGTGGGGTCCCCAAGACCATGATCCTTACAGAAGTAGATTGCCACATCTTCCTCCGTGGAGCAGCTGGGGACGCTTAATGGCTGTGCCACCGGGGGGGTCCCTCACCACAAACACAGTGAACGGGAAACGCACCCTCCGAGGCTGCATTCATATAGCTCATCAAGTCATTCTTTAAAATCCTACGTCCTGTGATTACAAACCAGCAGGTCCAGAAACCGAATTAAAAGAAGTCTTCAAAATAAATAGGTTGCTGCTTTTTTAAAAAAAAAATACCTAGCCTTTGGATACACCTAGATCAACAGGATTACAAAAGTAGTTAAAAAGTGCTGATTAGTCTCCACAATTACAAAGGCACATGGCAGTCAGAGGGGGGAAGCGTGTGGAAAGGGAAGGCAGAGCGCGTATTCCGAGGTTACCAACGAATTAAACAGTAAATGGCTAACAGCATCTACAGACACCTGCAGTCACGGTCTGGGCTGGAAGCAGAGGGACGCACACACACCGTGCTTGGCCCACGGCGGGGGCGAGCCGCCTTCTCTACGGTGCAGTGCTGGGTGTGTGTGCAAAGTCACGGGCTCCGGTTTCCTGCGTGCGGTGCTGTCGCCACCGACCGTCCTGGGCCGAGCACTCAGTACATGTCTCGGTAGATCTCCTGCAGCAGCGGGTGCAGGGCGGCGTCCGACTCCGTCCTTTTGATGACCTGCACCAGCTGGGCGTGCTCCGTCACCAGCTGCCGCAGGTCCGCCAGCTTCTGGAGCAGTTTTGGGAAGAGGAAGCTGTCATCCGGATGGTTGCTTTGCAGGTGGAGTTTGAGCACATGCACGATACCCTCCTGCATCTTCTCGATGTGCTCCACGTTCAGGAGGCCTGGCCGGTCTAGTGACAGAAAGAGAGCAGAGGGTGAGGAGCCCCGGCCCCTTCCACCAGGTGAAGCGTGCCTGCCCCCGCCCCACACCTAACACCCAGGCCTGTGGTTGTCTTCCATTTGGGAATGAATGATTTTTGTTGTGTTAATGAGACAGGATTCCCTGAGGGTGTGTTTCAAGGCGATCTCTTTTGTGACATGAAGAAAGTTAAGCAAACAAGGAGCAAAGGTGTGGGACTGGCAGTGGGAAGGGAGAAGCCAAGCCTCTGAAGATCACCCAGGAGCTGCAGGCCACAGACGAGAGCCTTCAAACAGGAATGATGAGTCACCCACTAGGACCTGCAATCCGAATTTGCACCTCTAGTCTCTTAAACTGTGAAAATGTGAATTTGTGCTTGTGGAGGTCTGCCACTTGTGGGATTTCCAATATAGCAGAACTAGGAAACAAGCTTGAAAGGAGGAGTGGCATCCACTTCCGTAACAGCTTGCCTCCTGAAACCCTATGAACCTGGAGAGAGGATGAAAATCACGCCAAGTGTTGAGGACTTTCGTTCATAGGGTCGCTATGAGTCGCCTATGACTTGACAGCACTTAACAACAACAGGAAACAAAGGTGCTGCTTTAATATATAGCCCGAATACAGCAAGAGTGTTAGAACTGGACGGTGGGTGGAGGCTAGGAGAGGGGAGACACTCCGTGGGGGAAAGATGGGCGGTCTCCTCCCAGGACCTGCTGGGGTGTCAACTGGTCCCCATTCAACTGAAATGACTTTGTTTTGCTTGTTTTTCTTAACCAAAGCCAGCGGTCTCAAGGCTGTGACTTCTCAGAGGCAGCTCACCAGGCCTGCCTGTGCAGGTGCCTCAGGTAGGCTCGAACCATCAACTTTCTGGGCAGTAGTGGTGCACTTAACCATGAGCGCCACCCGTGGAACCGCTGTACTCTGTGGCTCATGGGGCTGCCCTAGAGTAAGAATCACCCAACAGGCCTGGGTTCAGTCTCTTCCCCTTCCAAAAAGCCTGGCTGCCTTTCTTTAAAAACAAAAAGCTGCACTGCAATCCCAGAGGTACGTGGTTCGAATCCACCAGATGCTCTGCTGGAGAAGGAAGAGCAATCTCCTTCTGTACCAGTCAGGTCCCATTTGACAGTACACACACACACACGAAATAATAAAATTAAATAAGAAAAAAAATAGGGATTTGATTCTTAGAAGGTCCCATTCATCTATTTTATCTTCTCCTGGTTGTAGATTTTTCAGGATACTTGGAAGACTGTTTATGTTCTGGATTAGGACTACTAGAATTCTTCCAAGCTTTTCTTTAATGAAGTTTATAGTCCTTGGTTTTAGTCCTAGATCCATGATCCACCTTGAGTTGGTTTTTGTATATGGAGTGAGGTGTGGATCTTGCTTGAGTCTTCTGCAGATATTTTTCCAATTTTGCCAGCACCATTTGTTAAAAAAGGCTGTCGTTTCCCCACTTAACTGATTTCATTTCCTTGTTAAAAATCAATTAACCATATGTAGATGGGCTGATTTCTGGGCTCTCAATTCTATTCCATTGATCTATGCGTCTGTCATTGTACCAGTACCATGCTGTCTTAACCACCACGGCAGTGTAGTAGGATTTGAAATCAGGGAGTGAGATGCCTCCTACCTTTTTTTGAGGAGTGCTTTGCTTATTCGGGGCTTCTTTCCATTCCAAATGAAACCGGAGATTACCTTTTCCATCTCCTTGAAGAATGGGATTGGTATTTTTATTGGGATTGCATTGAACGTGTAAATTGCCTTTGGTAGTATTGCCATTTTCACAATATTGAGTCTTCCTATCCATGAGCAAGGGGGGGAAAAAAAAAAGAAAAAAACCAAACAACCACCCCCCCCAAAAAAAGAGCTGATTTCTGTCGAGTTGGGACCGAGTTCTCCTAGCAGCCCACCAGCGAGTTTACAGAGGCCATAAAGCTTCGTCTCACATACTGCAGGCATATTGCTAGGAGGGGCTATTCCTTAGAGAAGGACATCATGCTTGGAAAGGTGGAGGGTTGGCGAAAGAGAGGAAGACCCTCAACCAGGTGGATTGATGTGGTGACTGCTGCAATGGGCTCTAGTGTGCCAGAAGTGTGAGGGTGTGCAGGACAGAACAGGGTTCAGATCTGTTGTTCACAGGGTCGCTGTGGGTTGTACTTGACTTGCTGACACCTAACAACAACCACCAACCACATAGGGAGCTCTGGTGGCCTCGTGGTAAAAAGCTGCGCTGCAATCCCAAAGGCATGTAGTTCAAATCCACCAACTCCTCTGTTGAAGAAGGATAGGCAGTCTCCTCCCATGTGATTTACTGTCTCTGAAAACCCACTGGACGGTCAGCTATGGGCCCATTCCAACTGAATGGCACATAACAACAACATAAATCTACACGTGTACCTACATGCACACATATGTATTTATGATTCTCTTAGACTCCCCAGACGGTTCCAGACCACCCAAAAAGATAGTATTGCAATAAAGTGAGTCCTGGGCATTGACCCCTAGTCCCCCATGCACAGAAAGCGCTGTGGACACTCCCTTGTAGCCTGCAGAGGGCGGCAACATGATGAAAGAGTGAAATATTGTGTGAATGACCAAAATATACCAGAGCCAAAGCGAGCACGTGCCATTGCTCAGTGGTGTCGGCCAGCTTGCTTGGCCCGGGGTTGCTACAAACCTCCACGGTGTAAACAACACACAACACCTGTGGGGTATGATCAAGCCAAGTGCAGTCAAACGAGGGATGGTCACACACACATCCTCTTCACGCCTCCTCCCATCTGTCAATCCCACGCCTGTGAGTACACAACACACATATATTTGACCACAGTTTTCTTCTTTCTTACAAAAAGGGACCAGATGACGTATGAACAGCTCTGTAAGCGCTCACAGCCCTTCCCCTCCCTGTGTCCACAGGGACATTGATGAATGCCCGCTGCTTTGTCCTTTTACACTTGATGCTACGTCCTCAGTGCTTTCTCCCCCTGCTGGACAGCAGCAGGGACTTGTCTGCAGTGCCAGGCTGTCCTCGCCAGCTCCCCGCCCAGCCCGGGAGGCCGCCCAGCCTGTCCCGACACACGGACGTCATGGAGGACTAGTGTGGCTTCCAGTGGCACAGGGGACAGCTGCCTCGACAGTGTCCGCCAAGGCTGGAGAGGTCAGCTAAGTTTACAGTAGAAGGATGACCTTCCGAGACCTGAGGCTATTTAAGGAGCATGGCACCAAGCCAAGGTGCAGGGTGCAGAGCCAGCTTCCCAGCAGGGAGGCCCACAGTCGCCACAGGGATTCGCTTGCTGTGGCCCAGCAGACCTCATAATCACCACCGTCAGCGACTTAACCTCTTCACAGTGGGACAGACAGCGCAGCCCTGTCAGAGTGATGGCCATGGTGCTGCCGCCGACCTGGAGCGTCACAGGACACTGCCACGGACGTGACCACCCTGAATCCTAGCAGCACCAGTGACCCTGCCATGCACGCACCCACGGACCCCGCTGCCACAGCATGGTGGCCCAGCGCACCATGTCCCAGGCCGAGAACTCACCTCCACAGCAAATGATAGCAGCCACGAAGAGAGAAATGTCGCTGTCGTCCAGCTCCAGGGCGTTGAACTTCATTGCAAAGTCAAACTTGGGCTCCATGATGTCACAGAAGGGTTTGCGCAGGCTTTTGAGGAACTCGCGTGTTATAAAGCCGTTCCCGTAGGCGACCAGCATCCCATCCTTGTTCATCACCGAGGACAGCATGGCGAAGATGGCCTCGTAGACGCCGTACTTGAGCAAGGTCACCTGGTCGTTCAAGTCCAAGCTCGCGAAGCCCGGGATGGACTTGGCGAACTCCGTGAGCTCGGTCACGGTCTCCACCGACGTGCACTGGCAGCAGTGGAAGATGCGGACCTCGGCCTCCTTGTTCTGGATGCCGCCATTGGCCACCAGCTTGGCCACCAGCGTCTTCTCGGCCATGCACAGCGTCTCCATATCGTGGATGACGAAGGGCTGTAGGGACAGGCAGGAATGAGTCAGAGGGGTTGTGACCGGAGACACTGTTAACTATCAGGCAATGAAGGAGCGCCATTGCCCCCAAACCACCAAGCCTGGTGCCAGGGAGAACTCAGAAGGTACTAGATGCAGCCCGAGTCACTAAATGTTAGCTGGGGCTGTCAGACACTCACCACAAACTCACCATAAACCTACTAATTCCCATTGCCTGACATAAGGTAGAAACGTCTCTACTGAGAAACTCGGGTACTGGTGTTACAATGAATTAATGAGAACCTTAGAAAAACCACTTTGAACATTTTGAGATTATTCTCTGACTTCTCAGACACTGTTACAGTAACTCACAGCTCTCATTCTTAATCTTCTCGTGCTACAAACATCACCATTTAACATTGTTGCATGCAACATCAACACTCTTGGCCCCAGCGGTTAGGATATCAAAAGACAAATTGCACTGGGAAAATCAGTGGTCAGGGACCTCTCCAGAGTACTGCAGAGCAATGATGTCAGTCTAGAGATTAAGATGCGCCTAATCCAGGCCATGGTCTTTGTAATTACTTACTACACATCACAGAGGGGGACAATGACTAAGGATGACAGAAGAAGAATCAATGCATTTCAGTTGTGGTGCTGGAGAAGAGCACTGAAGATACCATGAACCACCAAGAGAATAAACAAGTCTGTCTTGGAAAGGGTGAAACCAAGTTTCTCCTTGGAGGCTAGGACTTTGACGCTTTGTCTCACATATTTTGGGCATGTGGCCAGAAGGGACCAGTTCTTGGAGAAGGACATCATTGTCAGAAAGGTGGAGGAACAGCGCAGAAGAGAAAGACCCTGGACGAGATGGACTGAGACGGTGATTAGGGTAATGGGTTGGGGGGTAGGTGTGGCATCGTCGGGGAGACTGGCTCAGGACAGGGCAGGCTTCAGAGGTGCTGTACACAGGATCACTATGATCTGCAGGTGACTCCCCAGCACATAACAATAGCACGGACCGACCTACGGCGTTCCAAACGGTGGCGTGTGTGCAGAAAGAGGAGAACAAGCACTGCTAACATCTTGCATGTTGGGGATAAACCGTAAAAGCCGTGAAGGACCCTCAAACTTAATACACATCCTCAATCCCTGTGCTATTCTGCGTGCAACCAGACTTTCTGACTGAACCCTCTGGCCCTGCCATGTTAGAAAGATCCAGAGGGGAAAGGTGAGCTGGCTGACCGTGCCACTTGAAGCCGACATGCCCAGCGGGGTATTTATGTGTCTGGCGGGGCATGACGACCCCTGCTGGTCAGCATTTACATCTCGGGTGGAGGAGAAGGAATGGCACTCTTTAAGGTGTCATCTGACTTACAGGCTGTTCTATCACTGGGCGTCACCGAGCCCATTTTTGACTCACAGTGGCCATGTGACGGGGCAGAACAGGCCTGTCTGAGTTTCGAGGCTGTACTCTTTAGTAGATTGCCAGGCCTTTCTTCCACAGCACTGGGTGAGTTCAAACCGTCACACTTTGCGTTGGCAGCTGAGCGCTCAACTGTGGTGCCACCAGAGGTCCTTGGCTGTTCTTCACCAGTGAAAACAAAAACCCTTGATGTGAGCGGACTCTGACTCCCAGAGAACATGCCAGACCAGACAGAACTGCCCCGGAGGGTTTGTAAAGCTGAAGTCCTCACAGGAGCGCATTACCACGTACTCTTCCTCTGCAGTGACTGGTGACTTTGAACCACCAAATTTAGGATGGACAGCTGCGTGTTTAGACACTGTGCCACCAGGACTCCTTAGCTGCTGCATAGAAACAAAACCAAGGCCACAGCTGCTGTCTATAGGACTTGGAGACACAGACCAACAGGCAGTGGACCAAGGCAAGCTTTCAGTGTTTTACTAGAGTCAACTAGAATGTTGAGAAGCCAAAACAGGGAAGAAATGGCAAAGTAAGAGCCGGACAGAAGATTTCCAAGGGCAACTCAAGAAGTCAAAGCAAAGCATTACAGTGAAATGTGCACAGAGCTGGAGTCAGAAAAATCAAAAGGAAAGTACTCACTCAGCATTTCTCAAGGCAAGAGAATAGAAGAATAAATTCAAGCCTTGAGTTGCAATACTCAAGGTTGCTATGGGCAAATCTTGAATGATCCAAGAGGCATCAAAAGAAGATGGAAGGAATACACAGGGTCACTGTACCAAAGAGAACAGGCTGGCACAGAACCATTTCAGGAAGGAGCATACAATCAAGAACCAATGGTGATGAAGGAAGAAGTCCAAGCTATACTAAAGGCACTGGCAAAAGATAAGTCCCCAGGAATGATTGAGATGCCAACCGACATACTCAGACAAACAGATGCAGCCGTGAATGTTCTGATCAGGCTGTGCCAAGAAATCTGGAGGACAGCTATCTGGCCAACTGACTGGAAGAGATCAATATTTATTCCCATTCCTAAAAAGGCGATCCAGGGTCACCATGAGTTTGAACAGAATTAACAAAAACTGGTTAATACTGCAATACTGTTGTTTGTTGTTAAGTGCCATCGAGTCAAGTATGACTAATAGCGACCCCATGACAAAAGACCTGAATACTGTTCTGTAACTATTATAATTTCTCTAATAGAGGTTTCCAGAGTCATGGTGTTTAGGAAGTGGATGCCACTTCTGCTTCCAATCTTAATTAAGACGTCCTACAGAGGGTATTATACTTGTCTGAATGGTCATATTCAATCGCTCACTCGTTCATTGTATTTGTATAAAAAGTTAAAAAAATCCCATTGCTATTGATCTGGAAGTAACTCTCACCTGCCCTCCAGTGGGTTTCTGGAACAATAAAGAACATGAGGAGAGAGGCGGGGGAAAGGTGATCCAAGAGAATGTGGACATTTTTGAACAAAATCATTCATGTCACATGCAAGCAAAATCTTGCTGAAGATGATCCAAAAATGGCTAAAACAGTCCAGTGACAGGGAAGGGCCAGAGCTTCAAGCAGGACTTAGAAGAGGCTGTGGCACCAGAGACATCACTGCTGATGTCAGATGGATCTTGACAGAAAGCAGATAATACCAGCAGGATGCCTATTTGTGTTTTATTGACTTATTGTTGTTAGGTGCTGCCAAGTTGAGTACAACCCATAGCAACCCTCTGAGCAACAGATCTGAACCCTGTTCTATCCTGCGCTGTCCTCATGCCTCCAACACGTGAGAGCCCATTGCGCACACACTGGGTGTTGTTTTACTGACTATGCAAAGGCATCTGACTGCGGGTCACAATACATTGGGGCCAATATTGAGAAGGATGGGAATCTCAGAACACTAAATTGTGCTCCTGCTAAAGTTATATTTAGACCAAGAAGCTGTTATTCAAATAGAGCAAAGGAATACTGCATGGTTTAAAATCAGGAAAGGTGTGTGTCAGGGCCATATTCTTTCTCCATCCCTATTCAGTGTATATGCTGAACAGATCATTTGAGAGGTTGGACTTACTGTATAAAAAATGTGCCATCAGGATTGCAGGAAGACTCGTCAACAACCTGCCTTAAGCAGATAACATAACCTTGCTCACTGAAAGTAAGGAGGACTTAAAGCACTCGTTGCAGAAGATCATAGACTACAGCCTTCAATATGGTTTGCATCTCAACATCAGTAAAACAAAACCCCTCACCACTGGGTCAATAGGCAACATCCTGATAGATGGAGAGAAGACTGAAGTTGTCAATGATGTCATCATACTTGGATCCAAAATGAATATATTTGGTAACAGCAGTCAGGAAATCAAAAGATGAGAAGCACTGGGAAAACCTGCCGTCAGGGATCCCTCTGGAGTACTAAAGAGCAATGATGTCAGTTTAAAAACCAAGGTGTGTCGGATCCAAGCCCTGGTCTTTTCAGTTCCTTGCTATGCATCTGAAAGTTGGACAGTGACTAAGGATGACAGAAGAATTGATGCTTTTGGGTTGTGGTATTGGAGAAGAGTGCTGAATATCTCATGAACTGCCCAGAGAACAAATAGTTCTGTCCTGGAGAAAGTGAAGCCAGTGTGCTTATTGCAGGCAAGGATGATGAAATTTCATCTCACACATTTTAGGCATGTTGTAAGGAGGGCCAGTCCTTGAAGAAGGACATCATGCTTAGAAAAAGTGGAGGGTCAGAATAGAAGATGAAGCTTCTTAACAAGATGGACTGACACAGTGACTGCTGATAATGCGATCAAGTATGTCAGAGACGAGGATGGCACAGGAAGGGACAGGGCTCAGAGCTGCTGTTCAGAGGGCCACTCCGAGTCATAGCTGACTCACTGGCAAAGAACAATAATAACAACATGGGCATAGAGCACAGGAGTGCCCAGTAATCCCGAGAGTTGTGTCTGCACCTGGGACATGAACATCCTCTATTCCGAGTTCATGCGAGCACCCAGAGAAGTCACAGCACTGTTATCCCAGGGCACATCTGGGGCGGCCCCTCCCTGAGCAGAGGGAGGAGAAAGTGCTGGTAGCAGTCAGGCACTGAAATGTTTAAAAAGAATCAGAACTCGTCATCTATTCTGGGACGAAACCCGTTATTTCACATCAGGCTTCAGGGCTGTAAATCCTGATGGGAGGAGACTGCCCGTATTTTCTCCCATAGAGTGGTAGGTAGATTCAAACTGCCAGTCTTCTGGTTAACAGCCCAGCTGTTACAATATTATACACCATGTTTAGCAGAAATAAAGACGGTACACCACAGAGTTCTGCAGTCAGAAAGAGGGAGAGACACACTGAGTTAAACAAGTTTCTTCAGCTGTTCCCATGGGGCCCTCCTCCAGTCTCTGACTCAGGAATGTTCAGGAACAGGACAGCGGGGTCAGTGGGTCCAGCACAGAACGCGTAGTTCTTTTATCAGAGTATCTCACAGGGCTAGTCATCACCGGCTACATAATTTGCAGGATTCAAGGTCCCCTGGTCGAGAATTACTAAGAAACTCAGAACAGCATCATAATAACTCAAGAAGGGGCTTCTTCTCAGCATCAGCCCTGGGCGACTA